TTTTTTTTTGTTTTATTGAGCAGTTTTTTTTTTTTTTTTTTTTTTTCATTGATAAGTCATTTGGTCAGGTCTTTCTTGTTTTGTAAGAATGTTTTCCATCATATTAAATGTTTTTTATTATACATAAGCAATATGTTCGCCTGAAAAGTCTCATTTAATTCAATCTTAAAAATTAGTAGAGAGAGTTTGTGTGTGACAATAGTCTACGGAATTTGTTTCGGTATTCTATCTGATGGACTAAAACTAATCTTTAGCCAATCCTGATATTTGAGTTGAATATTTTTATATTTTGAGTTAAAGTAGAATGTCATCATTTCCGATGCCATTTGACGATTCAAAATTGGTCAAACGAGTATGGATAAGAATACAAAAAGAAGTAGTCAGTCAACACAGCGAAAAAAGTGCATCGTTTTAAGCGAATCAATATCAAATGATGTATTACGTGTGGCGAACTCTTAAAAAAATTAAATGGGCCGAAGTTTTTTTTAATACGAGAAGATAGGAAAAAAATTCTCTATCAAACTGCTTTTACTTTTCTCTCAAAAAGTGACTCTACCCAAGAAAAAATCTATACAATCTAGCCAATAGAAACAAACATCGTTTTTTATGGCTTCAGCATGGAATATTACACTGTAAAAAATGCCATGTGTCTAACGAGACGGTTCACCCGTCTTACGTCTAATTGAGACGTGTTTTAGACATATAGTACGTCTTGTTTTTAGACATATGAGTGAAAAGACGGGAAACCGTCTTAACGTTCTCTTTCTCGTTACCCATTGTTATCACAAGTGACCAATAGCTCGAGTTGTATTTATTTCTTTCGTAGTTTTATTATAATATATATTTTAGAAGTGCAAAAATAATTCTATTTGGTTTCTTGAAAATATTCAATATTTCATTCTTTCTAGAACTAGTTTTCTCAGTGACTTCTATTCCATGAACTAATTCAGATTTTTACTCGACGTGATGGTATTCATTTTTATTTAGTGTTTGAAGTTTAGAAAATATTTTTAATAAATATTTTTAGATTTTATGTGTGATCAAATTGTACTCAAGAACTAGAAAAAATTCGCTTTATATTCTATTTAATAATTTTTTTCATATTAGATGATTTGCGTCAAAAATGAGACCTATAGAAATCGAATATTTTTGAAAATAATATTTTATTGAAAAATATTGCTTTTGACGAAAATCATTTAACTTGTAAAAATTCATAAAACAGAATTTAGAAAAATCTAGTAGTTTAAATTAAATTTAACTGAGATCTATTTTTCCTATATTGAAAATGTTTTCTTTTGTATTTATTAGGTCGATATTGTGGCTGAAATGATTTCATAAATATATATATCATTGAAACAGATGAAATTTAGTTTTTATTAAACATTCGATTTTTTTAAGGGCAATAACTTTAAAATAAAAGTAGTAATAACAGCGGCTTTAAATAACATGTTGGGTGCGGGTGTGGGTGTGGGTGTGTGGGGTGTGGGTCTAAGTGGAACACCCACACCCTAAGTTATTGGGAAAATGTAAAGACCAATATGCACTTTTCGACGATGCACTGAGAGTTCAGTATAGATGACATCTAAAGAAAAGTTCTATAGGAACTAGAGGTTCAAATAGGATAGTAAGGCTACTGCTCAATCGGATTCTGACTCTAACTATGATAGGCAACATATTCGTGGTTGTCAGATCAATGAAAGTCAGAGGTTTAAACAATTATAGATTTGTCCCTTTCACTAGTATGAAAATCATGGATAGCACCTATGTCAGGCAGATGAGATGAGGATTGAGTAATGGTCCTAGTACCTTGTTCGAACATCTCGTTTCTGATTAGTTATCGTATTCGCTTGAAAAACTCAATAGACCTGGAAAATGAACATTTTTTTATTATGTCACAGTTAAAATAAGTGATTATTTATCTTGAAAAAAGTTTTTTTTTAATCTCCAGAATGATTATTCTCTTTTGATTTTGATGACAAAAGAAAAAAACTCATTGAATGAGTTAGATAAATAATGTTGTTTTTATCAGCATATTCTACAAACATTGTTGTTGGTTTAAAAAAAAAAGTTTTAGAAGATTATGTTTCAAGTAAATCTGGATGATGCATTAGCCAACGAAAATATTGAATATTTCATTTATACTTTCACAAAATTCATTTATCAATGACGGACAAGTGAATCATTATCAAAAACTGTTTTGAAGTATGGCTACCATAATCTTAACAAATTTATTAGATTCATCCGAGAATTATTGGGAAAAGATTGTTTTTTTCATAACATCTAAATGTTAATAATCCTTCATTGAACTTAATTGTAAAAATATCAATATATAATTCTCTTGTGAACATTTCTCTAGTAATTACAAAAATACCAACGGGTTAGGTCAAAACTTTTCATAATAATCTTTATATGGGTTGGTGACTGATCAATTCATCGTATATGTGTTTGATTCAAGTGATTTAGTTTAGATTATTATTTAATTAATAAATTTTTTCTTTAATATATATGAAATCTATTTTCAGAATACAATGACTCTTTCAAAACTATAATTAAGATATCGATGTAGAACTTTTTTTTAAATTTAATTTTTAGTTTTAAAAAAAATCTAAATAAAAAAAAGATAAAGTTCGTGTTTGAAATTATTTATGTAGAATTTTATTTAAAATCAAACTCGAATTTTGTTAATTAAATTTAAAAGAAAATGTTTTTTTCTGAAAATAGATTCCTTAGAGACGAAAGAAAAATTTGATTAATTCAATAATATATTAAACTAAATCAATGTATTCTCTACAACTCATATACGACGAGTTGTACTAGTTAGTACCGTAATGTTTAGTAAATGATTCTTGCTCTATTCGTGTATTTACACAATATCTCTGCTTTACAGGATATAAATGATGGGCTAATAACAATGTACACTACTTTCAGCTTATTCTTCATTCCAATAGAACAAATCATTTGAGATACACAAGCTAGAAAAAATAAAATATTATCAATGAATTTAAAATATGATTTGATTTTAGATTATTAAAATGGAAAAATAATAAGGAAACATCAATACTACTAAGATGCAAAATGTACATTCTCCAATATCCAAAAGATTGATTATGATAACAGATCTTCAAATGCGACAAATTCGTAAACATTTTTCGACTGTCGTTGGAATATATATTGTGAGTTTTATAATTTTCTTTTTTTTTAATGTGATTAACAAGAATATTTATGAGTCAGATTTTGAAATTTAATTACAATTCAAGATCAATTTGCTTCAAATATTCATATAGATTAGCAATTTAAAGCATAGTCTACGAGTTTTTCTAATGAAGTGTCTACTAGACTTCTATTTTGTTTTGAATGCTATAAATTTGAAGCAACCTTCTATGAAAAAAAATGTACTAACCTTTTAAAATATTCTGAAGTGATAGGGACTTCAGAGTTCAAAATAAATTTTCGATTTCTTTCGAAGTTGCGTAAAAATTTCTGTTAATCACTAAGATAGAATTTTGGAAGATTTCACATGAATCATGCTGAATTCATTCATTTCTATTATATTTTTATTTATTTATTTATATTTTCAGGTTTATTTTCATAAGGAATATTTTTAAAGATGGAAGAAAATATTCAATAACAATAACAACTTATATATTAATTGACTTTATTATTGAATTTGTTTGAATACTTTTTCGGATTTTTTGCTGCTCAACGATTCTCTCAAAAAGGTTTACGAGTGGTATGAATTATTTCTTTTATTTAATAATCAAATAATTTAAAACTTTGTTAATTTTACGATTGCTGTTTGTTAAGTATGTTTAAAAATTCTATTCATTTTTTCAAACACCATCTTCATGAAATGATAAACTGTAGAGGATTAAAAAAAGTCTGAGCTTTCTGCTGTATAGATCGTAGTTAATAACTTTCAGAGGTATTTCTAGCGTCTCATTGGAATACAAATATTAATTTCGTATTCGAATTCTCGAATAGAAAGACAACACTCAACTCATATGTTCCACAATGAATCAAACAAAATAGTTTTCATATGTTCAGTAATTATTTCTACATTGTCAAGATATGTAAGTCGACGATTGAAATAATTGTATTTCGCACATTAGTTTCATCAAGACATCACATGCAGAGCAGTCAAAAGGTTCTGTCGCTCAGGACAAATTATTTAATAGAAACATATTTCATTTCTTACTCCACAGTAAATATTAGAAGGAGTCACCGTGATGTTAGATATCAATATCAATTCAATTTTGATATGTTCTTTCGTATTTATAGGAGAGTATCAAAGTGAATCCTCGATTAAAAATTTAGTTAAATTTGTTTCTGAAGTATTGAAAAGTTACACAAGCTTAAAAAGAATGCATAGACAATTATCTTAAATGATCACTGGTGATGAGATATAGACTAGATGAAACTAGCAACTAAAATTACAAATAACAAATCATCGGATAACTTCTCTAACGTCTATTAAGGTTATCCACTATTGTAATCAATGTTTAAAACTATTATATAAAAAGTTATTTTAAAAACAAAAGTCATCATCAGAAATCTTCGGTAGTAAATTTCACTATCGCAATATCGATTATGTATATAAGTTATAATTAAGAAGACATGATGAATTTATGGCTTATTCGCTGCTGTCGTCCAACTTTGTTCTTTCAGATTTTCAGGGCTTGAGTTACCTGAAATATACGCTATATAAATATGCAAATGTAATAGGTTTAGCAAAGTTATAATCGAGCATTCAAATCGATAGTCTTCTATAAATATGAAAAAAAAGCATTTCAAGATTGAATTGAAGTTAGTATCTAACATCATGGTGACTCTTTCTAACATTGACTGTAGAGAAAGAAAATGAAATGTCTTTCTGTTAAACAATTTATTCTGAGTGGCAGAACTTCTTGATTGTCCTATGTACATTTTTACGCAGCGTTGTCTGAAATTAAGGAATCTAGATGTTCCAAACAAGAACAAACTTCGTTGATATATATGAAGATACTTAAGTGGACCCATGCACACTTTTGGGAATTTTCGGAGAGCAGATCATTAGCAAATTTCAAGAATCTCACTATTGATAGATCTCAAAATGTAAAGTAAAAGTTGTCATAAACTTGAAATTCGGCAATGCTTCTTAGAAATATTAGGGTCACAATGACTAAAAATTGCTCATCAAATCGCTCCCATGTCTCAGCGGTTGTGTGTGTTACGCAACTGATATTTGTTTTACAGATACTAGACATTGTTTCCAGGTATTGCGTTTTTTGATTTTTCTTTTCTACTTGTTCTATTCGACAAAAAAGAGTTCAGATACGAAGAGCACCGTAAAAATGCCAATTTTTTTGGCTAGTACTTGCTTTGTGAGACCTACAAAAACTCAATAGTATAATTTTTTTCAAAATATAAATAAACTAGCTCTGCTGAACTATTCGTAGTATTTATAAAAAAAACATTTCACATCGATCGAATGCACCGTATCTGAGAAACGGGGTCGATTCTATCGATTTTCGCAGAAAAATCGGATGTTTAGAAAACAAGTAGAAAAAAAATTATATTCCTATGCTTTTCGATTATATTTTTGACATAAGATTATATTTGAGTTCTCAAAATATTACCAGAAGAGAGAGAGAGAGAGAGCATTTGAAAGCACATGTAGAGTAGTAAAAAAAGAAAAATCGAAGAATTTGAAAATTTTGGGTTTGGAAAGTGGAAGTCACTTTAAAAGGCTTGCATAGTTTTATTTTTACTTGTAGAATGTGAAAGATTCTCTCCGAAAGAAATCATTTTTGAGCTACTCTTGTAATTCCAAAGCTTCTGTTACATGACGACATAGAAATAACAAAGAGAGAATATGCTGATTTGTTTTCATCAAGATATTTATCATATTAATTGTATCTCATGTATTACTGTTAATACTAAGCTTCCTTCTATTGATATATTTGCTTAGATTCTCATGTAATTAAGAATAGCTTTTGTTACACTCGTTGTACATTTAATATTGGAGTTTGTTTGGATTGGCATTATTTTACTTTTCTTCAACGGTGTTGCTGTTTTATTTGTCCTCGGGATTTATATTAAAGCTTCAACTCCGGTATCGATTGTTTTGCTTATGACTCTTGTTGGTATTCTTCGTTTTATTCTTGATTTTGTATATTTTTATTTAGTTTCTGGATTTCTATTTATTTATAGATAATCATGGTAAATTTAGCCTTCAAATTGGTTCGTTTTTATTAATGTCAAACAGTCTTCAATCATCGTAAAAGTTCAGAACTCTATTCCATCGACAGTATAACTGTATTGGAATTGCACTTATGTTTGTCTATTATGTAGAAATTTATATCTAAGTATAAAAAATCTTTTTCTTTTCTTTTTTTTATTGATCAAACATTGAATAGAACAATTGTAAAACTATATAATAAATATAAACATCGTATGACAATTTTCATTAGAATTCAACAACACAAACACGAATTATTCAACATTTTTGTTCTTTCTATCAGATTTTGTAAAAGCTTTTTATGTTGATCGTTTTAGAAAACAAAAGTTGAATTTTCATTTAGAAATGACGATATTGTAGTTAAAATACAAAATAATGTAAAATATATGTAGTTGAATAATGCGATTTTTAATATATCAAGAAAAGTCGATGTTAGCGTCAGTAGATGACACTCACTGACGCTAAACGTTTATTCGTGTTATCTGTTGCTATGATTTCTATTTTGATTTGTTACGTAATATTTCGACTATGACTAATCCTCGTGATTGGTTTTCTTTCGTTATTGCGCAGTGGTTGATGTTTTTTCGTATCAATCACTCGATACTCAATATATTATATATATGACACGACGACAAAGTCGATTATTAAAACATGTTTAGCTCTCTATTTTTGGCAGACTAAATATTAGNACTCAATATATTATATATATGACACGACGACAAAGTCGATTATTAAAACATGTTTAGCTCTCTATTTTGGCAGACTAAATATTAGTTCTACCATTGCTACATAATCCCCAAACGAGAGCTAACAGTCGACTCATATATTTCACAATCGCAATATTCTAAAGTCATCTAAGATAATGAATTTCGTTTCACAACATTTCATAATAAGCTTCTTCATTTACACTCAAACTGAACGAGTGGGCTACAATAGAATACTGTTAATGTCATTCCCAGGTTCGTTCCTAATTTTATTTGAATGCAGCAATTATGGTGATGTTTTGTATCGGATGAATTATAACTGTTGTTAGGTAGCGGTCATTGATAGAAAGTCATATCTCACTATCGTTCCATCCTCCTCTTATACCCGTTGTTCTTCTCATCTTCTTCACTGTCTTATTATCCATGATGGGTATGGGTGTCTATTTTATCTTTGCCAATAGCCACCGATGCCCACATTCTACCACACACCTGAAGTAAATATCAATTATTAATTAATTACATATCACACACGTGATAGACATCTCACCGACCCTTTATATCCGTCACAGACATGATTATATAAATGTGTGAATTCGACATTAGTTCAAAACAGTTTGCACTGACAGGTTTTTAATTTTGCGATATAACTAGTTTGATCCGGTTATACATTTTAATCTCGAATGAATTGTGCTAACAGTGTTTTTTATACAATAAGCATATCCAACAAGTCTTACACACTTTTCTGACTCATACCTACACCCACAATTATTCACATTGTTCGTTTTATTTTTGTTCTTTCATGATAGTTAAAATATAAAACTGGAGAAATCGCCATTTGGTATATGAGTACCGTCAATATTTTCGTCCTTCCACGTTATTTGAAAATTAATAGGTATTGTATTAAACTCTTTAGGATATAACATTTCATCATATTCTTCATCTGTGTAATCCTTCATCTTATTTTTAGCCGTTAAATAATGTCTTACGGTCATCCATGCACGTCGTTGTTCTTCAGATGGACAAGGATCGTCTTTATCGGGAGCAGTTTTTGCCAAATTATCAAGATTTTTATGCCATTGCAAATGTTTTTTATTATAATATAATCGTTTTGGATGAATTATCTCACCGTCGCCAGTATGAATACCGACAGTTGTCCATTGTTGATAACAAGAATGTAAATATGGTTTATGTGTTTTATGATAACGTTCGCCATGGAATGCTGTCGGAATACGATAATCATTCTCATGACTAACACAATCAACATATGTCACATCAGGGCAAATACACTCATCTGTTTGACATTGACAGCATTCTGGTAGTACTTTTACTTGTTCTGCTGGATGAAGACTTGGTTTACTGCATTTCACTCCACATCCTGGACATGTATGTTCACAACCAAGACGACGTCTAATGATCGATTTGCAGTCGTCAAATGCTGTATTTCTTAATAAATTTGATGTAGCTTCTTTTTCAAATTTGCTCTGATTAGCAAAAACGGTCCATATATGTTTAAAACCAAGTTGAAATTGTTTCGGCTCTGTTATTGGTAAATTCATTTTCGGTTCAAGTTTAAACTCCAAATAATTTTCTTCATGTTTCATTTTCTTAAGAAGATTTATTTCTGATATAGCATTTTCTATTGCATTATATATACTATTTATGTCATTATAAGCATAATTTTTAATAGTATTATTGATTGTAATTAACAAATATTGTTGAAAGTAAATCATCTAAATAATTCGTATGCATATTGACAACATTACGAAATGTGCCTAATACTTCTTCTAAACTTAATTCTAGTAGATATCGATTAATATCAAGAACATATTTTAATATATTTTCACCATTATTTTGTTGAAAACTTTGTTGATATGCATTTTTACGCATATGATCATGAATGATAAATTTATTTTTCCTAACATCAGATTTGACATCACGAAGAACTTGATTTAATAATAAACGTTTAACTTCAGCAAAAATTTGTTTTCCTATTTCTTCAGCTTCATATTGTCCTTGTTCAAATGAATATTTCATTGATTCGAATTGTTTTTCAATATTGGTTTTCCATTGACGTAATTGATTTTCAGATTCTTTCAATTCTTTTTGATAATTATTCTCAGATATTAATGTTATTTCGGTAATTAATACTTTTAATGATATAATAACAAAATCAGTAACAACTTCTACATCGACTGTGAATGGTCCAACCAAGGGGGAAAAGGCGGCTCCTGGC